TGTGTGTGTGTGTGTGTGTGTGTGTGTGTGTGTGTGTGTGTGAGCGGGGCGTAAGCAAGCTTCGAATGATGCATGGCGCGGCGCATACACGCATACACGCAGCACGCAGCACACACGCGCTCACACTCACCGCATCGTAGCTCTGCACCGCCACCACCTCCACCTCCATCCTGCGCCTCCTGGCCACTCTTGCCAGCCTATGTGCCACATCCTGTGCAGTGCCCGTCTCGGTGGCATAGACGATGGTCAGCCTTCTGGGCAGTCCGAGTGCATCGTCGAGCTCCTCCTGCTGCTGCTGCTGCTGCTGCTGCTGCTGCTGCTGCTGCTGCTCCAGCTCCATGGAGGGCGTGACACCTGCGCGCCTGCGCCTGATCTGGACTCAAGCTTTGCGGCAGCGCGAATGTGTCGTGGGGTGGTGGTGTTGGTGAGGAGGAGGAGGAGTGGCGTTGTGATGGAGATGTGGGGGCGCGTGTTGAAGTGGAGGAATGGTGGGAGTGTGCGTCGTGATGGAGGGTGCATGGCGGGATGATGTGCAGTACATGTATGTAATCACGAAATGCGCGAATCAAATGCAAATCAACAATCTCGAATCGAAAATCAAGAATTTGGATGATCACAATCATAATCAAGAATTCCCCTTGCTGGACGCGGGCGAAAGCCATGTCACGTGAGTCTGGCTTGGACTGTCGGCCATGATCGGTGCGCAAAAACCGAGCTGACGGACGGCGGGCTGTGCACATCTGTGCGCATTTCATGCTCGCGGCATAGCGGCATAGCGGCATCGGCGTCCAACTGAATGAATTGTTGACTGCAACCAGTCGTCCAGCATATCCTCATATCATCCTCCCCCCTTCTCCCCTCCCCCCTTCACTCATCCTCACCAAGCCAATAACACGCAAACTCATCAACAACGCTAAGCTGTGCGAGACAAAGGCAGCCAAACATCCACCAAAGACAAAAAAGGGGACAATGGCGTGGTGGCCACTGCGTCGAAGCGGCGCGGGAGAGGCGGAGACGGAGGCAGGGCAAGAAGAGAGGCGAGGCCTGTTGCAGCATCCATCTGAGCGCATCAGACGAGCATCACACCATGCTCATCCTTGCAGCAGCATAGCCGCGGCCTCAGACTCGGACTCGTCTGTCGAGGCGACACGACTGCCCAAGATGCAGCTCTTCATCCTCTGCGTCATGAGGTTGAGCGAACGTGAGTGCAGAGCGGGCGGACGAGTGTTAGAGAGTCGCGCGCGCGCATGGAGGCTTTGGCTGAGGCTTTGGCTGTTGATTGCTTGCGCATTGCATACCTGCCACCTCACCCGCGGCCCGCCCCCATCATCACCACACAGC